GGAGCGGACGGGCCGGCCCCTCTTCCCCCCGGGGTTCGTCGCGCCCGGCGGCTCCGCGGGCGCGTCGAGCTCCCGGGGCGACGAGGCCCGCGGCGCCGAGGCGCCCGTGAACCGCGCCGCGACGCCGCGCACGGCGATGCGCCAGGGCCAGCGGGCGAGCGACGTCGCGGACCGCGCCGCGGCCGCGTCGGGCCTCGCGGACGCGCGGCGGGCGACGCAGCGCGCGCGGAACTGGCTCCGCGTCGCGCGGCGCCGCGCGTCCCAGTTCGCGCGGCAGGCCGAGGCGAAGATGCAGGCCGCCGCCGAGGCCCACGAGCACGCCCGGGGCCAGGCCGACTTCGCCGAGGACTCGAGGGCTTCCGACGCCGAGAAGCGCGCGATGGCCGACGCGATCCGCCGCGGCGCGGAGCGCGCGGCCGAGGCCGCCAAGGAGGCCGACAAGGCCGAGCCCAAGCCCAAGCCCCCGCCGCCGCGGCCGCCGCGCCACGCCGCGCCGACGCGGGAGTCGCACTACGCGGTGCTCGGCTGCGCGCCGACGGCGACGGCCGGCGAGGTCAAGAAGGCCTTCTTCAAGCTCGCCCTCAAGTACCACCCGGACCGCAACGACGCCGACACGACGGCGACGATGATGAAGATCAACGCCGCCTACGCCACCCTCGGCGACGCCCAGGAGCGCCTCAAGTACGACGCGCTCTTCGCGTGCGGCGTCTTCTAGGGAGCGACCTTCGAGGGAGCGCTCCTCGTCTGGTAACCGCTCGTGGTTCGTTCGAATTGACGTGCCCAGGGGAGCGTCCTTCGTTCGAATTTACGACGCTATGGTACAGGGGCACAGAGGGGGACACACTTGCGCGCGCGCGGCGGCGGGATCACCGGCACTGCGTCTTGCTGAGCTGCTCCTCGAGGACCGCGAGGCGCGCCTCGAGCTCCTTCTCGCGCTCCGTCTTGGCGGCGACGTCCTCCGTCACGCTCGCCGGGCTCGCCTCGCCCTCGACCTCGGCGGCCGGCGGCGCGCGCGTGCCCCGCGGCGCCGCGCGGGCGCCGAGGGAGCCCTGGCGGCCGAGGCCCGGGCGGAGGCCCTTGCGCTTGATCTTGACGAGCGACGAGTCGGCGACGACGTCGCCGCCGGCGCCGTCGACGACGATGGTGACGTTCGGCTTGGCGGCGTCGGCGACGACTTTCCTGACGTGCGTCCGCGCGAAGTGGCCCGGCTTGCCGCCGAGGAGGTCCGCGCGCGACAGGGACGGCCGCTCGAGGAGCGCGTCCTCCTCGGGCGCCGCGGTCGCCGGGGTCGCCGTGCCGTCCCTGGCGGCGACGGGCGCGGTCTCGAGCGTCACCGTCGTGCCGCCCTGGGCCTTCTGGATGCGGATCTTCGTGCGCTCCGAGCTCTGGCGCTTGATGAAGCGGCCGCCGGGCGTGCGCGGGGACCGGCCGGGCGACTTGCTGTCGGTGACGAGCTCCGACAGGCTCTTGCCGCCCGTCGTCCGCGCCTTCGTGAGCGAGACGCGCTCCTCGAGGGTCGGCCGCTCGCCGAGGGAGTTGTGTGGCCGCTCGCCGAGGGACCGGGAGAAGGTCACGGATTTGCGCTCGCCGAGCTCGACGGATTTGCGCTCCTCCGCGGGCTCGAGGACCTCGACGGACGCGCGCTCCTCGAGGATGTACTCCTCGTCGTCGACGCCGTCGCCCGCGGCGCCGGAGGCCTCGAGGTCCTTGAGCGTGCGGCTCGGCTGCGTGTTCTTGACGACCTTCTTCGAGCTGAAGAAGCGGGGGGAGCGGAAGACCGACATGATTTTTGCGGGCTCTTTTTTGCTTGTTTTTCACGTGCGTGCGGGTTATGTATTGGCGCGCGCTGTCGCGGGCGGTTGCGGGGTGCTCGATTGGGTTCAACTTGCGGGCGTGCGTTGGGGGTGGCAGCCTCTGTGTTTCGAGACGCTTTTTTTTAGCACATTGCCAGGAGAATGCCCGTCGGACCTACTAGTACCTCGCCGGGGGTAAATCGAGAGTTTACGCGCCGGGCCGCCGGACCCCTCCCCTCACGTCAGCGGCCGCAGGTGCCCGCCCAGCGCCTTCTCCAGCACAGCCGCATCGGCCCACTGGAAGAAGCCGCAGGCCGCGTCCCGCCCCTTTGAACACGCGAAGAACCACTTGCCCGCGTTGTTGCCGTTCTTCGTCACGCGCAGGCGAGAGACCGCGTCGCAGCGGCACTTGGGGAACTTCGCGTCGGCCCAGGAAAAGTTCGCGTGGCAGCCCGCGCGCGCGCAGGACCAGAAGAGGCGGCCCTCGTTGCAATTCTGCTTGCGGACGCGCTTGAGCTTCTCCGAGGGCTTGCCGCACGAGTGGCCCCGCATGAACGACCGATCGTCCGCCTCGCGCTCGCGCTTCCGCGACGGCTGCGGCGCGCCGCTGCAGCAGGCCGCGCAGTGAAAATGCACCCTGTTCGCCGTGATGTCGCCTACACGAGCGACACGTTTCGTTTTTCGAAGCCAAGTGGCGACGCCGTGATGTCGCCCTTCGTCATGGCGACGGGGCCGCCGCAGTCGCCGCAGGCCGTCTTGTCGTAGACGAGGCACGCCGGCCGCCGCCCCGCGAGCCACGCGCGCGCGAAGCCCCGCGCCTCGCGGATGACCTTGGCGACCTCGCCTTTCGACAGGCCGCTCACGACGCGGTCCGGCGCGACGCGCGCGCGGTGCAGGCTCTCGATCTTGATGATGTTGCCCGTGCCGGGGCTCACGCGCTGGTCCATGAGCGCCGCCGCGATCGTCGCGTCGCCCGCCTCCGCGAGCCGCGCGGCCGCGCGCGCGGCGTCGAAGCGGTCGGAGCAGACGTCCAAATGCGCGCGCGCGGCGACCCTGGCGCGCGCGGACGCGGCGTCCGCGCGACACACGGCGCCCGTGGACCCGTCGCCGAAGACGGCGAGCGAGCGCGCGCGGCCGCCCGCGGAGGAGGGCTCGAAGTCCGCGCGGAGCAGCTCGACCGCGCGCGCCGACCGCGGCTTCGCGGCGTCGAAGAGCAGCGAGCCGCTCATGCCGAAGTGGCAGCGCACCGCCGTCTCCGTCTCCGTCGTCGCCGCCGGCGCGTCCTCGTCGCTGTCGCTGCACAGATCGATGACGTCGTCGTCCTCGGCCGTCGAGGCGAAGACGACGCTCGGCGGCGCGGCGGCGGGCGACGCGAAGATGAGGAAGAGCTCCTTGCCGAGGACGAGCACGTCGGCCAGCCGCGCGCCGGCTGGGATGCCGACGCAGTCCTTCGCCAGGCGCAGCCCGCACAGCGCGCGCGCCTTCTTTCCGTTGTTGGTCGTGCCCGGACCCTCGACCATGGCTGCGGCGGCAGCGCAGTACCGGTGGACGGTGTGCAGTTGTGACGGCAGTGGACGGCGTGCAGCGCGGCGGCGGCGGCTGCTGCGGCGGCAGGTGGTGCAGGCGGTGGACAGCGTGCAGCGCGGGCGGCGGCGCGGGCGGGCGCGGCGGCCCCAACGTCAACGATTGGCTGGACGCCTGCGGCGTGCGCAGCGCGCCACAAGCCGCGCCTGGCTCCAGGCCTGGCTCCGTACGTATGTAAGCCAGCGTGTATCCGCAAGCAGAACGAAGCAAGTATATATGCAGCAAATTAAAAGGCCGAGTTCGCCTAGGCGCTCACCATGGCCACGAGCCCCGGCGCCGACGCCTCGGCGAAGGTCTCGAGCGCGGCGGCCGCCGCGGCGTCGTCGTGCCGCCCCGCGTCGTTGTCGCCGCCCGGGCGCTGCTGCGCGAGCTGCGCCTCGAGGAGCGCCAGGCGCGCCTCGAGCTCCTGCTCGCGCTCGGACTTGAGCTCCTGCGCGCGCTTCGGGCTCTTGGCGCCGCCGGGCTTGAGCTGGCGGCGCACGCGGACCGTTTTCGCGCTCTTGGGGCTGACTTCGCCGTCGTTCGGCACGACGATCGTGAGCACGTCCGCGGCGACGGCCTTGGCGTGCGTGCGCGCGAAGTGGCCCGGCCGCGCGCCGAGGGCCTCGGCGCGGGACAGCGACGGCTTCGCGATCATCGCGTCGGCCTCCGGAGCCGCCGTCGCGGGCGTGGCGCCGCACTTGACGTCGCCCGTCGTCGTCGTCTCGAGCGTCACGGTCGTCGCGTCGCCGGACGTGGAGATGTGGATCTTCGTCTTGTCCGAGCCGCTGCGCTTGATGAAGCGCCCGCCGGGCGTCCGCGGCGTCCGCTCGCCGCCAGGCGTCCGCGGCGTCTTGCACGCCGCCGCGGGCGTGCGGGGCGTCTTGCAGGTTCCCGCGGCCGAGGGCGTCTTGCAGGAGCCCCAGGCGCCGCCGGCGGGCGTGCGCGGCGAGCTGCCGTCCGAGGCGTCCTGGTCCTTACAGAGCTCCGCGAGCGACTTCTTGCTGAAGGACACGCGGCTGAAGGACGGCCGCTCCTCGATGGCGAGCTCGCTGAGGGACTTGTTGTTCGTCGTCACGGCGCGGCGGAAGAAGCGGGCCATTGCTGCGAGGAGTTGGTGGTGTTGTGCTGCCCGAGGTCGGTTGCTTTGCGTTTTGGGCTGCGTCCGAGAACACGAATGCCGCGAAGCTGCCCAGTCCGGGCACGGCGCGGAAACTGTAGTCTGTGCAACTCGATGATATGGGAGTTCAAGCTGCTCACAATTGCCACAGAGCCTCTATAGCTACTCGTGCTCTAGAGGTGCGCGCCCTCCTCGAGCAGCCGGAGCGCCCGACGCTCGACGCGCAGCCGGACCCCCGACGCCCGGAGGCGCTCGCGCGATGCTGGCCCTCCGCGTGTTGATGTGCGTCGGCGCCGCGGCGGCGTCGAGGACGCACGTGATGACGTCGCGGCCCACCGGCCCCTACAAGGGCTCCGAGAAGGTCCTCGGCGAGAAGATCAAGGCGGAGATCAACATTAAAAACGCGTCGCACCTCGACCTGTCCATCTCCGGCGCGACGAACATCAACTGCGTCGACGAGCCCTACGTGTTCTCGGGGCGCGACGTCCTCCTGGCGGACACGTCGAGCACGGACTGCGTCCAGCACAAGCTGGACAAGAAGCACGCGGTCTTCAAGTCCGCGACCTACGACATGAGCAAGAACAGCCTCACGGTCGACGTCACCGTCCACGTGAAGAAGCTCTCCGGCGGCGAGCGGAAGATCGACGTGTCCCTCGAGCTCGCGGGCGAGTAGGCTAACCGGTTTTGTGCACAACCCTTTTTCACAAAAGCACATTAGGGGGCAGGAGCGTCGGGTCCCCCGTGACGTAGAAGTCCCGCGTGCGGATGCCCGCGGCCGTGCGGCAGAGCGACGCGAGCGTGTCCGGGTACGTCGCGGGCGGCCGCCGCGGGTCCGGCGTGTCCGCCGGGTAGACGAAGCCCGAGCCGTCGAAGCGGCGCTTGCCCGGCGGCGGGAGCTGGCTCTCGCGGCCCGCGCCGCCGCGGATGAGCCGCTTCGCGACGTTGTGCCCCGCGGCGCGGATGAAGTGCTGCTCGATGAGCCGCCGCTTTTTCGTCGCGTCGTCCCGCGCGTCGCCGCCGTGGAGCGGCAGGAGGCTCAGCGCCCGCCGGTAGTTCGCCGCGGGCGTCGACGTCCGGCCGAGCGCGCGGAACGTCGTCGGAAAGACCAACGGCACGAGCGCGCCCTTCTTCAGATCCGGCGGCAGCTCCCGCAGCGCCGGCGCGTCGATGGCGAAGGGCGGCGTCGGCGGCACGTGGCGGCTCCAGGGCCGCTTCACAGCGAGGCGCGCGGGGTCCGCGGGGCCGAGTACGCGGATTTCCACGTCGAGCTCGCCGCGGTCCTGCGTCCAGTCGTCGCCCGACAGCGCGCCGCCGCAGAGCGGCAGCCAGTCGCGGTCGCGCCGCGGCTCGCCGTGGGGGCTCGCGATCCAGAGCGACGCGAAGCCCAGCACCTGCAACGGCAGCTGCTGCACGTACCGGCGCACCGCGCGCGAGCCGCGCCCCGCGAGCGTCAGATTGAGCACCTGAGTGGAAATCAAATCTTCAATCCGACTTCAATATGCGCGTAATCGAACGGTTTGGACCGGACTCTTCGGCAGTGCTTCGAGAACTTGACGAGAGCGATCAATTCATCCAAAAGTCAGCCGAATCGACTTCGATTTGGCCGAGCTAGAGAATTTCAAAGTTTGGTCGGGACGTCCCAAACCAGTGGTTGATTTCCACACAGTTCAGCACCGTCGACGGCGCGACGACGAACGTCCGCCGCGAGTCCCAGGCCGCGGCGCAGAACTTGGCGCCCATGCCCGGCGTCGTCTCGAAGGTCCCCGTGGCCGAGCCCGTGGAGTAGGCCGCGTACTGGTCCTCCTTGCGCGCCGCGTCGACCTGGGCAGGAAAAGGGTGCGAAATTCCCAACCTTGGAGGCTCCTATCTCGGTCGCTTTCCACTCGTTTCGGCTAATTTTTGGGACGAGCGATCATCTCTTGGAACGGTCTCGAAGCGTGGATGCTTTTCCCAGAACGCGCGCGCGCGGAACACTCACGTTGAAGCGACGTTGAATCACCCTTTTGCTGCCCTGGCGTCGACGGCCGCGACGTTGACGTTCGCGTCGAGCGAGAGGAACCGCGTCGACGGCACGCCGCGCGCGCCGTGGACGACGACCTCGACCTCGACGGCCTCGACGTCGAAGTCGTAGGCGTCCGTGGCGACGTCGTACATGCCGTGCGCCGCGCGCGACGCCGGCACGAGCTGGCCCCGGCCGTGGCGCGACGACCGGCGCCGCCGCGCGGCCGCGGGCGCGGGCGCGGCGGAGTCCTTGCTCTCCTCGAAGGAGCTCGACGCCGCGTCGTCCACGGAGCCGTCGTCGACGAGGAAGGACCGGCCCCCCTCGAGCGACTTGTCCTCGACCGTGTCCGCCATCGACCGGTCGTCGACGAGGAACGAGAGCGTGTTCACGTCCGTCGACGTCGCCTCCGTCGACG